CACTCACACTCACACTCACACTCACACTCACTCACACTCACACACACTCACACTCACTCACACTAACACTCACTCTAACACTCACACTCACACTAACACTCACACTAACACTCACACACACTAACACTCACACATGATTTTTTTTTTTTTTTAATATAATCCCCCCAGCCTCCTTACCTCTTGGAGTGCTGGGGGGGATTATTCCCTGGGGTCCAGTGGGGCTCCTGGGCGGGCGGCCGGTCGGGCAGGCAGGCGGGCGCGCGAGGGAGCACTCAGTGCTTCCTCTTCAGGTCCCTCGCGCGCCACGTAGGGATGCCGGCGCCGGAAGATGACGTCATCTTCCGGCTCCGGTATCATTGCGGTGCGCGAGGGAGCTGAAGAGGAAGCACTGAGTGCTCCCTCGCGCGCCCGCCTGCCTGCCCGACCGGCCACCCGGGGTCAGCAGGGCCAGCCTCAGTGGGGCCATGGGGTGATCGGCTCCTGGGCCCCCCAGGGGAAGAGGCTGGCCCTGGGCGTACATACCGGGTCGCAGGGGCGGCCGGGCCCCCTGGTGGGCCGGGCCGGGTCGCAGTCGCGACCCCTGCGACCCTGGTATGTACGCCAGTGAGCGTCAGTGTTGTCATGACGGCCTGAACCAAGGACCAGGGCCCCCATGCACGTGTTGAAATGACTTGTGCAGTATCATTAAAGTAATATTTTTCTGAACTGGTTCCTTGATTTTATTTGTGCTTTATTTTATTTTGACCTGATTCTATAACAAATTTGTTTGATTTTATTTATTGTATTTTTCTCAGTGTAAATCACAATTATTTAGATTATATAACAGGTTACAGGAAAGCTAGACAAATGCTACTGTAAAACACGAACAGGTTAAGGGTGTTTCCTATCTCGCAGAACGTATTGATGCTGAAATAATATTCAGTACCATGCAGACTCTTGGAACCTGTGATTATCAAATCTAATTTCATGAAAAACATTTCATGCCATTGCCAAAAACAATGCGTGCTATTTCTAGACTGACCACCTATTAAATATAATAGATAACCGCTTTGTCCTCTATTCTAGTTAAAGACATAGCTGTTGTAATTTACTCTATATTTCTCTTATAAAAATATATTATATTATATTATATAATATTGAAATAAATTCATTTCTTGTTAGCATTGGGAGCATTTATAGAAAGCAAAGTAAAATAACATTCGTGGTGTTTGAGTTGGCAAGCTTTCAAGCTCTGGAGGCTTTTTCCATATAGCTACATTGACCTTGGCTTCTTTGTATCTTTACCTTAGTACAATCTATAGTCAAGTAATCTGATCACAATAGAGATGAATGATTTCCAGTGAAATGTATATGATGGAACTGAGGGTTTTGTGTAAGTTCTCAAGAATGGAAATCTGATATCTTAATTTAAGAGTGTTCTCCAAGCACCATAACCACTATTACTGGTGGCAGGTGTGCCAGGGTAAATAGCTAAACCGTTTAAAGGAACAGTATAGTGGTAGGAATGCAAATCTGTTTTCCTAATTCTGTAGTGCCCCTGTCCCTAGTATCATATTTTTGCTCCTTGAATCGTTTCTCCCAAGACGATTGCATGGCTGAAACCTAATTTTTTGTTGCCGAGCACAAGTTTCCAGCAAATGTTTTTGAAGTATAATTCCCATTCCCAATATCATAAACCATCCTTCATTTAACTCCTAAATAGAAAATAATTGAGCAGTGAGACTGCATTGACATGATCTATACACCAAAACTGTTTCATTAACATAAATTTGTTTTGGTGCTGATAGTGTCCCTTTAAAGCTGTATTCCTAGCAGTATAGCTCTCTCTGCCTCCCCCACCTCTCTCATGCCCCCCCGACGATGGTAAATGAAGGGTTAAAAAACTTTATATACTTACCTGATCCCAGCGCCGATGTCCTTAGGCACTGGGTTGCGGCTCTGAGTCCTCCGCCATCCATCGACAAACGGGCGCTAATGCGTCTGCGCTGTGAGTGCATTAGGCCCACCCAAAGGAAAGCATTAAATCAAAGCTTTCCTATGGGGAAATAGCCGACACTGGATGTCTTCATGTGGAACGTGAGCACGTCCAGCATCATTTACCAGACCAAAAGTCCATTAACAGCCAGGAAGCGCCTCCAGTAATGTCTGGTAGACAGCCACTGGAGGCAGACTTAGTGCTGCAATGTAAACATTGCTGTTTCTCTGGAACTGCAAAGTTTTACATTGCTGCACCAAGTGCAAACGGGTCACAGCACCCAGACCACTTCAATGAGCTGAAGTGGTCTGGGTGCCTATAGTGTCCCTTTATTAAAATAGATTAATTACAAGCTGGCTGCAGTCTACAAAGCTTTAATAAAGTAAACACTTTTAAACATATTTGAAATGGTATTCTAATATATATAATCTACTTATCACAAACAAACCATATTTTTATTTTAGCATTCTCATTTGGTGAACTTGAAGTATTCCAAAAATCTAGAGTAAATGATGTATTTTTAAATATAAAACCCACACCCAGATCTGCTGATAACAAGTGCAATACTTTTAAATTTGCTCTGTTGTTCACTTCAAATAGTTTTAAAATACCAGATGTGAAACTATTATTATTTTTGTAGTTGAAAGGCACACACATTCACATTTTATTTCTTTTTCATACGTTGACCTTTCTCATCGTCAACTCCTCTCTAGAAGAGAAAATTAATAACATTTCAAAAAATAAAATAATTTTCAATACTATGGAATCGATTTAGAAAGCAGCATAAAAACAAGTGTAGATGATGAAATGTGTAATGCATGGACAGTGACATACTAAGGGGGGTGTGCGGTCTGCCTTGAATGACAGGCCGCAGGGGGGTGCACATGAACCACCCTCCCACAGCAGAAGTGATAGTGGTGCTGGTACCAAGGGAGCTGCTGAGAAAACTCTGCACTGACTTCCCAGCTCCCTAATACACCCTGTACTGTTGCTGGAGCCAGGATATGACGTCACTTTAGCTCTGACGACTGATCCCAGCAGCACCACACTGGACCCCAAGAACGAGGTTCTACTGCTGTCAAGGTAAAAAAAACAGGGAGTCTGGGTAGACATGCTGGATGGACCCGCTGATTTGAGTTTTAGTCGAAGTGTGTTTCTGTATTTGTCCATGTGTGTATATGAATGTATGTGTGCACATTAATGTAAGTACGTGTGAACCTGAATGTGTATATGTATACGCGTGTCAATATGTGAGTGTAATTTCTCTTACAAAATGGATTTGGGGGTGGTTCAGAGGAAAAATAGCTTTCTGCCCTGGGTGCTATTTAATTTAGGTATGCCTCTGTACATAGAAGTACAAAAAAAACCAAACCTGTGCAAACTACTACCACAGCTCTCAAGTTGACTTCTGAGCATAACTACCAACATGTTGTTTTCTTGGTGTAAGTGCTCAGCTAGTCCAATGCTGGGAAAATAAATTGCAGTAATGGCTAATTATAGCTTCAAACAACAAAAGCAAATGACTGTGGCCACAGAACTACTATTCATGAAAAAATTACACGTCAGAGGTCTATGAGATCACGACAATCAAGCCGAAGAGCCAAGTGAGATTTAAATCCTCCCAACAATGTAAAGTCTATTGATTCCTAGGATTAACCAAGAAGGTGTCGAGTGATCTCCCTCTTCCACCCTCTTGCATTCTGGTGTTGAAAGGAATAATGAAACCCTGAGTCCTAGTAAATCATCGCTAGCTCTTCCACCATCCACTGGCTGGTGTGTTGGATGGTAACGATCAAAGTAGATTAAGAAGTCCCAAGTCCCATAGCCCATGTATAAGTGAATAAAGGGGTGCTTGATTACCTGCTCTCAATAACCATAAGGCCTTAATAAAAATTATTCAGACCTAACCCGTCTAATAAGTAAACAACCAACCAATAACAGTGCAGCGAAAACTCTCAAAGTAAGGAGGTGAATATAAAGAGCTTTTCATTTTCCAATTCTCTAAACAATGTTCCTTTTTTATTTTGCCGTGTTGTTATGGTTATTTTCTTTTTTTATTACAAATTTTCTAGTCTATCATACTTATTTTTATTGCTTTTTTTGAACAAAAGAAAAGAAAATCTTCAGTCAATACATTCGTAAGTTAGAGATAGCAATAGGTAAAAAATGTTTTATTTGTATGTTTTGGGGGTGGTGGATAGGAACTTAGAAATCCCTAGCATCAAGGAGAGTTGTACTTGGGATAAATGGACTTGGTATCCCCGTTCCCCTTTAGTGCCAGGGGTGAAGAAGTATTTTATCTGTAGGATTGTAGGGGGGGTCAGCGCAGTCAGCGCAAGCCAGCTGGTGGAGGAAGTAATAAGGGCCATTCGCTGAGCCCCTACCCAGCTTAATATTTTCCCCACCTCCTCCCACATGCAGTGGAAGATGGGAAAGGGGCAATTTTTTAGTTCCCTGCTCTATCATGCTCTTCCTTCTCTGGACATGTGTATGGAGAAAGAGAGGACCATTCACTGTGCTTCTCTTTGATATCACTTGGCTGTGGAGAATTCAATATATATTTATATGTAATTTTATTTTTTTTATTATTTTTTTGAATCCCTAGTCATAATCTAGAATGTTTGATTTTATTTATAAGTTTTTTCTCTGCGTGGTAATGCCCTGCAAGTAAGTGGAATTTTGACATCACTTTGTTGTGATGTCACTTTTTTTGACCTTTAGTAAACTGAGCCCTAAACAACTGTCAAATACTTGAAGTTGTGAATCAAGGAACATTTAAAGCTAAAAGTGATTTTTTTCCCCCAGTAATTACACTACACATAGGTCTCAAACCCCACCTTTCTCCCCAGGGTCAATTCCATTAACATTTCTCGAACATAATGCAACAAAACACATACTTTCTAAGTACCCTAAAAACAACAACTGCCGCCTTATACCTGCAACTGTCTGAGCCACGAGACAGAATATCCATAACCACAATTTGAGCGGATGATTGTTCAATGGATTATTCATAAATATTTATTTATTTATATTCAGTGTCTCTGTCCTTACAATTAACAAACAAGGTCTGTCTGGAAAGTATCCAGCCATTGTTAATATAACGATAACTGTTTGCACGACATCAATTTAAGAGAGTGGACTGGAATGTGCATGCATTAACAATGAAGACTTCACTGTTCTAATCAGTGGTGGTACTAGACGCCGTTGAGCATGTGTACTGTGTGGCTGTTGCACTGAAAATGACTGATCGAGTACAGCAACAACTCTGCATCAAATTTTGCATTAAGCTTGAATATTTCTCTGTAAAAACTATTCGGATGATTCAGAGAGGCTTTTGGGGATGATACAATGCAATACAGTGCAAATAAAAGTGTAGCACAAACGCTTCAAAGATCGTCAAAAATCTGTTGAAAGATTCCAAATCACCTTTGGAAGGAAATAGATTTCAGACCAGCGATGAGATTCAGGTAAATACGACAAGGCAGCTGATGGCAATTCCAACAAAGGATTTTGCAGAGTGTTTTGAACGATGGAAGAAGAAGAACTGTGTGAGATCCCAAGGTTCCTACTCTGATTGGGACTGAGGCGTCATTGTCCTATGTACAATGTTTCTTGTATCTTCTTCAATAAATGTCTCTGTTTTTCATATTACATAGCTGGATACTTTCCGGACAGAACTCATATACTTTTATTGATTTTCTTTATGTGTGTTCTGTACCTCCTATGCATACGGTTTCTGTTGCCCAATTTAGCGATAAGTGATATGTTGGTAGCTTTTAATGCCAGATTTGAGCGGTTGTGTAGAAGTTGAGTAATTCCACTTATTATTCCATTTATATACCAAGGATTACAGTGATGATAAGGCTATGGATTACTTAGTAACAAGGAGTTCCAAATCCTAGGCTCTGGGTATCTCTAAAAATAAGAGAAAAGGGCCCAATAGTTGCCAAACAGCTGGATGAAGTGTCCTTTGATATTATAATATACAGGGATGGTCAAACTAATAAAGTGACCAAACAAATGAATATGTAAAATGAAAAATTAAAGGGACTCAACATAGTGAAACTTACTATCAGAGTATCACAGAGTTGCCCTTTTTTATTCCCACGATTTTTAGCATGTGTCCAGTTTTCCATATTTTTCAAGAACCGAGACTGCGAAATAAAAAACAAAACAAACTAAATGTATGTAAAGGGTGTTATTCCGTCATTAGGAGCAGGAAAGTATGAGAGAAGAACTAGGTCATTTTTCAGGTCTATTTTAGTGATATAGTCGCATGTAATACAGTTTTATGTATTCTTAACCTTATACAACAATAAGGGAATGTAAACCATCCAAAAAATTAAAATATAGAAGTAAAAAACGTTGTTCAGCGAGTTTTTAATTTTAGTTATGTTAAAACTCTTGAAAGTCTTTATGCTCGCCAAATGATTGTACTTTTTGCAAACTCAAGGTAAAGACGGAGAATACAATGAAAGTCACAAACAAAGCTGAAAAGGTTTGAAGGGACACCATAGGCACCCAGACCACTTCATCTCAATGCCCCAGTTGTTTTATCCCTACAATGTAAAGCTTTGCTGTTTTGGGGAAATAGCATTGTTTACATTGCAGGGTTAAACACACCTACAATACCTGTCTTCCTGACAGCTACTAAACAGGAAGAGGTGAACCATACCAGAATAATAGAAGCAGGGTCTGTCACACCAGGCAGCAATCAAGGTGCAGACTGTGCAAAGAGGCCTCTGAGACAATCCAGCACATAGTAGCCAGGTGCAGATATTAGCAGGGGCAGCATACACTTAGAGGCACACCCAAGTTGCAGGAATTGTGTACCGAAATATCAGCACAGAATATGGGCTGGACCTGCTTAAGTCCACGATACCACAAAGAGTAATTAAGAATGATCCTGAGGAAATTTCAGATCTAGACAGACAAGTATTGACAAAGACGAAACGTTGCAGTACTCCTTTTGTACTAATAAATGTACCTGAAGCTATTGGAGTGCCTGGACATTTTCTCTACTATCTCTGCTATATTGAGACAAGTAAGTTGTGCCCAACCTATCTGACATCGTATTGGTACAAGAAACTGAAGAGTTCAGTGGTGGTGGATATGGCAAAACCCAGTTACCATAACATCAGGAAGAAGGAACGTAAGAAGGTGGACAAATACCAAGGAGTTAAAGAGGAGAGAGAAAAGATGTGGAAAGGGTGTAGCTGTCATCCCCAAGTTGCGGGTCTGGTGGAACATCTGATGGGACATCTGAGATCGCTGTCCAGAAGAGTGGAATTCTAGAAACAGCTAAGATACTGTGTAGAACCATCAGATCTCAGGCCTTCATAAAAAATATACATATACCACCCAGGAGGGATGATAAAAAATTAAATATATATATATATATATATATATATATATATATATACCAAATTAGAAAAATGGTACACTCACAGGTCTTTCCATAAATTCAATGGTGTTTATTGAAAAGTCGATCAGATATTTTTGTGACTTTATGATGCAGACACACACGCACACAGACCCAAGCAGATACAGACATTGACCCATGCACAAACACAGACCCAAGCAGACACACACGCTGATCCAGACACACACACACACACACTGATCCAGACACTCACACACAGACCCAAGCAGATACACACACACACACACACACTGAACCAGACATACACACACAATGGCCCAAGCAGGCAGAGACACAGACACACACACACACAGAACCAGACACACACACAATGGCCCAAGCATGCAGAGACACAGACACACACACGCACTGATGCAGACAGACACACACACACACTGACCCAACCACAAACAAACATACTGACTGAAACAGGCTGACACACACCACAAAGTCCCCCACTTGCCTTCATTTCATGTTTGCTCTCCTTGGGCCCCAAGTCCAGGCCTGGCTGCCTTCACGCTCTCTCAGCTCCTCCTGCCCACTTGACCCCGAGTACAGGGGAAGGAGTAAGAGCGATCGTATGATGCACCTGAGTGCTGCCCGGATATGAGGTATGCAGGGGGAGCAGCTCTCAGTGCTCTTTGCGTCCTTAGGTTGATGGCACCGGGCGTTAGTTTGCCCCTATGTAAGTGCTCCCTAGCGCCCGGTGCCATGACCTCTGGAATGCAATATAGAATGTGTCCCACATAGAGGGGGGCGGCCCAAACCAGCAGTAAAACTGCTGCCGGCGCAACCTTTAAGAAGCACCATAGGCAGCCGCTTAAATCAGTCGAGGACGTGCCGGCCCTGCTAGTTGAACAATCCCGCTACAAGTTTACTTAAAGTGTAATTACAGTCTCATCACCTAAACATGGATCAATTAGCCAAGAGCAAAATATTTGTTGTGAGCTTAGCACTAGCTGCAAACTCATCCTAACACTTTTACTGTGCTATATGTTGCATTTTAATAATAAAATAGAGAGGAAAAAATGGGTCGCAAGAGTATTCTGAGAACGGACAGCAGCTAAAATAGCCTGCCCTTCGGTGGGTCCCCGCTCAGAACTCAAGCTGGTTTTAGCTCATCTTGTGCCATTACAGAGAGAACATATCTGAAGCATATTAGACTGGTCCCACCCATACGGGCAGTCCAGATCCGAAATGCCAGCAAGTTCTCTCTGCACGAGAGATACAGCAACCTCAGACGATCGTTTCAGCCTTGTTAGGCATCATCAGTGAGGCATAGCTGATATCTCTCTAGGCACCGTGAGCAACGGGTCCACATCTGGATTACCCTTTAAACTGATGGAGAGCAAAAAATGGGTCGCAAGAGTGTTCTGAGAACGGACAGCAGCTAAAATAGCCTGCCATTCGGTGGGTCCCCACTCAGAACTCAAGCTGGCTTTAGCTCATCTTGTGCCATTACAGAGAGAGCATATCTGAAACATATCAGACTGGTCCCACCCATACGGGCAGTCCAGATCCGAAATGCCAGCAAGTTCTCTCTGCACGAGAGATACAGCAACCTCAGACGATCGTTTCAGCCTTGTTAGGCATCATCAGTGAGGCATAGCTGATATCTCTCTAGGCACCATGAGCAAAGGGTCCAATAATAATAAAATATATACAATACAAATTTTGGAAACTAAACTTGCATACATTTTCCAATATTTTTGAATGATATAGGGATTCATCATCAAACACACAATAATAAAGCATAAAGCAGTTCTTCTTGACAGTGACCACTGACTGTTATAAGTCAAAGTCATAGTTACAAGGCAGTATAGAAAACCTGGAAAGTCAAGTAACTTTGACTCTGACCGTACAAACAGAAGGACCATACACCCGGCAATCACAAGTATGTTGGAGTAACTTAACCAACATTTTAGCTCATGACAAAGCTTTTATCAAGCCAAACGAATAATCACAATAAACTTATATTAAATTATCCATAAAATTAGTCAAAAACAGAGAACATAAATGATGACCGCTGGGGTGGAGTTGTTTTCCAAAAGGAAAGGATTTAAAAAAACATACACGTCACTGAATGACAATATGAATTGTTTTCATGACATTGGTAACCATGCAAAATACATTGTAGATATAATACAAGGAAATTGAAATTTATCAAAGTGTAGATAGCAAAGTGCAAAAAACTACAAAATAGCAGAGCCTACAAGATAGTGTCCAAGTGCAAATATCATAAAAAGAGTGTATATAATCATAATAAATATACCTGATAAATCTAAAGTGAATAAACACCATCATGATAAATATACCTATAACATTGTCAAATTGTGATGATAAAGTGCAGTGGTTTTGTTAATGCATCCACAGATTATATCAAATGAATCCCATTATTTTACATCTAATGTCACAAGAGAATACATTTAGGAATAATAAAATAAAACTAGTTAAAAATAAATACAAAAGGTGACCATATAATACTGATTGAGATATTAATAATAAAAAAATCAGCAAATCTTTGCATCCATAAAAGAGACACTATAGTCACCAGAACAACTACAACTTAATGCAGTTGTTCTGGAGAGTATAGTCAGTTGCTGCAGGCAGTGGCGGATCCAGGGGGGGGGGCAACGGGGCAATTGCCCCCCCCCGAGAAATCCGCCGGTCTCCCTCTCCCTCCCCTGTCAGCACATGCAGGTGCTAGCCCTGTAATGTGCCTGCGGACCGGGGGGAGATCAGAGATCTCCCTCCCCGGTCCGCAGGCACTGTGCTGGCGGCCGGCGGCGGAGGGAGGGAGTGAAAGGGAGGACCCGGAGCTCAGTCTGCAGCTCCTCCGGGTCCTCCTCTCGTGAGATTTGGAGCGTTGCCGCGGTTACCACGGCAACGCTCCAAATCTCGCGAGAGTGAACTCTAGCCCGGGAGCGTGGAGTTCACTCTCCACACTGGGACCACCAATGAATCCCCCACCGGACCACCAGGGATCGAAATATGTCCCCCCTCCTCCCCAGTAAAGGTAAGAAGGGAGGGGGGACATAGGATATTTATTTATTTTAATTAAATTAAAAAAATATATATAATTTAAAAAAAAGCCACACACACATACATTGCCCCCAATACTGCTCCCCCAATACACACAAACTGCCCCCCCATTCACACAAACTGCCCCCTATACACACAAACTGCCCCCCCATTCACACAAACTGCCCCCCCATACACACACAAACTGCCCCTATACAC